TTTCAGAAAGGATACAGAGGTGGTATGATGTGTTGTGTCAGATCATGGCCGAGACGTCAAATTCACTCGGCGCAGCCCGTTATCAGCTGTCAATCAAAGTTAACCGCCCTTATTTGTCATACATTTTATATCTAAATATGATCTAAACTAACAAGTTAAAAAAAAAATCACCCCCCTCACAGTTTTCAGTCACAAGGAACATATTGAAGATTACAATAAAAGTCCATGGGACCAAACTGTAAACATATGAATTTATGCTGTGAAAACGGACATTTTAACATGACTTCTATGGATATTTGCTCCCTTTTGGGACCGGCCTCTAGAGGATTTGAGCTGTATTGCAGTTTTTCGCACTTCCGGGTAGGCTTCATCTTTCAGATTAGAATGTTGCCGCTTGGTTTTGACTGGAACATCAGGAATGTATCTCATTGTAAGAAACTCATCTTTTGTGTGTGTGTGTGTGTGTGTGAGAGCGAGAGAGAGAGAGAGAGAGAGAGAGAGAGATCACAGGCCATCCAGCTGCATAGAGTTGAAAGTATGTAAACCCTGAGGTATTTATGGATCTCTCCACAGTCCGCAAATGCATTTCAAATGTGCAATGCATAGCGGAGGGAAAGAGAAGGAAAACAAATTAAGTCACACCAGGGTCATCAGACTAGGAGAGATGCTGAGATGAAAGCAAGATGGGGCTGAACTTACATGTTCCTGATGCTTTGATAACTCATATATGAAATTATTTATTTATTTTTCTGAGCTGTTAGATTGCAGTGGTTCTCAACCGGACCTGCGTTTTACATTGGGCATCAAGGCCATGTCCACACTAATACGTTTTCGTTTGAAAGCGTATATTTTTCTCTCCGTTTTGGCCTTCCGTCCACACTGAGACACCGTTTTAAGTCAACAAAAACATATCGTTTGGAAAACGCTCTCCAAAGTGGATAAATTTGAAAACGCTGTTTTCGCGTTGTAGTGTGGACAGTGAAACCGGAGGTATTTCAAAACGATGACGCAAGTTTAGTCATGTGATCCATGTAGTACCAATAGATATTCATGTTTATCGGTATTGTGCCTGTTATGTGTTATTCATTTTTACACTATTGCTAAAATATGTTACTTTCTATGTTACTTAATATGTGCTATTCGTCATAGCACAGTACTGCAAAGATAACAGATAATGTAGTCTACTCACATTTGCTGTCCTGCGGCAAAACAGGAGAGCAGTTGCGTTTTAGACCAAACTGACTGAATGCGACCTGGACGCATCCGTGATGGTGAGATATTTTGCTAAATAAAATTATCCTGTTATTGTGCGAAGACATTATTATTTATTTTCCCATCTGTATCATCTCAGTGAGCTTTTGTGAAGTTTCACGCATGCGCAGTAAAGTGAATTTAGAAGTTTCTCATCCACACTGAAACGTCGGAAAACACCTGAAAACGCTAGTGTGGACGGAGAGCGTTTTTAAACGAAAACCCCGTTTTTCAAATGTATCCGGATTAATGTGGACGTAGCCCAAGTAGTGACCTAACTTGATCAATATTTCCAAGAAGATTCAAAAAGATCTTTAAATATTCAAAATATCGCACTTCCCGACCTCAAATGTTGTGGGCGGGGCCAAGTTCGGCTGGCATCCAGGCTAGAAATTAATGTGATAGATTAATTGTGAACAATTCATATGTTGTTGTTCTAATTGTACACTGTTCCCCTGAGCAAGCCACTTAGCCTCAGATTCTTCCTGACTTTCTTAACACAGTGACAGTCTATGCTTATGTCACATGGAAGTCATGGGAAAAAACTACACCTGCCCCAGGCATGTGGTGATTAAATAGTTTTCTAGATTATATTCTGCTAAAAATATAGATATTGTTTTACATCAAGCTCATTAACTGTGAACAATGAGCACCATCATCCCTGTTAGCTGCTTCTGTGAGCCACAATCTTCTATGTTACATTAATAAGCCTGAAAGAGATTTGGGGTAGAAAGAGTCAGGAATGTGAGGGGTGTAGAGGTTGAATTATGGGGGCTTGGAAAAGGCCACTATTTCAATATGTGGTTACAAGCAGCTCCACTGCCAAAAAATGAAGGGAACCCACTGGAATGAGAAGAGGAGGGGGGAAGCAGAAGGGAGAAGAGAGAAGAATATATCTAGGCAATATGCTTAGCGCTTTGTTTTCTCTGGAATGTCTTTGTGGCATTACATTCAGACAGGTTCAAGAATTACCATTTCAACGTTATCTTGATCTGCAGTAGCTGTCTTCCCATTGTTTTACTTAAAGCCTGATTTTCTGGTTTCCCATGTTGTTTTGAAATAATGTATTAGTACTTGGTTTTACCAGGTTCGTAATAAGAGCAGATCTTTCCAAAAGTGACTCATGGTGGTGGGAAACAGATCTATTGTGCATAAAACCTACTGTGTTTAATTAGTTCTATCTCCTGTCTCATTTCATTTAAGGTCACAATAATTGTAGAGTTAAAAAAAAATGAATATTGGCTGCCCTGATTTTTTGTCAGTGGTGTTACTCCTAGTTAGGGAGTAACACCACTGACATGATTTTTAATCCTTAATTTTTATTATTATTTAAATTGCTATATTTTTGGTACTTTTATTTACTTTTTCATTTTTGTTTTAAAATGTTTTAAAATTTACCGTCTTAAATGCCTCATGAAGTCCTACTGAATGAGACATATAGGACCTCATTGTGTGGGAGTGACCATGTTTATATTACACTAATGCAAATGAAGGATATGTGGTAAACTGTACAGTGTGAACACAAACATTTAACACGGTTGTGTTTATATTGTAGATATCTAGCTTTCAGCAAGGCTCAGCAATCAATGATTTACAGCGCACAGTCAACTGTGATGGTAATATAGTTGATGTTAGACAGTGTAGAATGTGTCCCTGATGTCACTAAACAAATATAATGAAGTTACAGGCTGTGCTGATGTCATCTCCAACATGTTGACCATGGACAGAGTCAGCTTTTGAGCCAAACTGTCATTATACAAAGTATTCCACATTCTCCACTTATTTTGCAAATGCAGTAATAAATAACACCAGGATCAATTATGGCTTAATTACAAGGTCATGTTGGGAAAGGACATGTTGTAGTTCCAGCACATTTGTTTGTATAGACTGTTCAATGGAAACTCCATCCATCTTTCTGTTTATCCATCCTGGTACCAGCTGCCTGACGTGGTTATTTTTTTTTTTATTCCTCTTCCCCACGACTGTTTCTAGATTGTACATGATCTAACGCCCCTTTTACAGTCCTTTAATCGCTTTTAATAACCATTTCTAGGCCTGTATATTATGGAAACTAATTTCTTGTCATAGGAATATGTATTTAGCTTAAGAAGGCTTCTGAGTGAGTAAACAATGTGTGATTCAGTTCTTTTGGAGATCAACTGCTGTTTTATTTGAGATGATTTACATGGTAATTTTAATAGTCAGTATTCTTTTAGGCCCATTTTATAAGAGTATTATTGGATCAATGTTGTTTGAATAAAATGTGAAGTTGGACAATTTAGGGCTAGTTTTAGTACTATCAGCCTTATTTGCATCCATTCATCATAATTCTGCAGATTTTTCTTCATTTTCACAGATGTAGAAAAACATTCACAGATTCATTGTAATTCTTGCTACTTTTATTCTTTTATAGATTCCCTAGTCCATTACATGTTGTGCTGTGTGATCTTTAGTGAAATATATTTTATATAATGAAAACAAACTATTTAAATATATACCGTTCAAAATGTTTGAAGACATTATGATAGTTTTAATATTTAAGGCTCTTATGCTCACCAAGGCTGCATTTGTTTAATCAAATACACAGTACAAACAGTAATTTTGTGAATGTTCAGCACCTATCACTCCAGTCTTCAGTGTCACATGATCCTTCAGAAATTATTCTAAATGCTGATTTTCTGCTCAAGAAACATTTCTTATGCTGGTTAATATTTTTTGTGAAAACTGTGATACTTTTTGATGAAGTTTTTAAATGGAAATGTCTTAACTGTCACTTTTAATTATTTTTCAATGCACCCTTGATGAATAAAAATTTACATTTTAGTAAAAAAAAAAATGTTTTCACTGACCTCAAAATTTTGAATCGTAATGTATACTAATAAAATCAAAAGCCCTAAATCGAAACCAAAGTACAAACAAAAATGCTTTCAAGATTTGTTATCACAACATTTTTTCTTTGGTCAAATCAACTTAAATAATATTTAGTTCAGATAAATTATTATTTTGATTTTCTGATGATTAAATCAATCTCCTTCATTGTATTAACTCAATTTTTCCAGTTCAATCAACTTAAATTTTTAAGGCAACCAGGTTACTTAATTTTTCAAGTTAAACCAACAATATTTTCCCAGTTTTATAAGTAAAGGTGCTATTTGTTGATAAAGTGCTACAATTTAAGCACACCCTGGCTATTTCATCACTTACTGACCCTTGAGCCTACATTTAAAGGAAATCACTCATTTAGCCCCCATCCCACACATCCACGTATTGCCTGAATGCCTCTGTTATGACTGTAACATGCATCATTTGACCTTGCAATAAATGGGTCATTACTGTGACAAAATCCCTAATGCAATGTTTTATTGAAATATAGGTTTGGTACAGTTGACCAAGAATCTGCTTGGACTATTTGTGCAAAAAAATCTATGACTCAATATTTGTAATATAAAGAAACTTTCAGTCACTTGCTTAATCTCACTAAACCACTAAAGTGACAAGCCCAGGCAAATCAAACTAGGCGGGGATGATGCGTCACAGTGGGCGGGGTCTGGAATGTACCTGATGCATCTCATTATCTCTGAATGAGTGAGGAGGTGTGTGTGTGTGAAAGACTCTAGCCTAGCAGTAAAACAGGAAGAGCTGGTGTGTGTATCATGCCACCAGAGTACCCTGCTATGTTGCAGACTTCAGTGTGTGCTTGTGTTGGTGAAGAGAGTCACTCACACATGTCTTTCTGTGTTCTCTTGCAGTCTGCGGCTGTCTCCGATGGTGGTGAGTAATCAATCAATGTTTTGATATTTAAAACCTCAAATCACATCTGATCCTCTTGATCAATTGTCTGTTTTTCAGTATTCCACTTTTCTATCACAGTTTATTTTTACTTTTTACTCCTAAACATCTTGGTCTCTTAGGGATCTAATTACTTATGCATTCTTCATCTGTTACTTTCACCATCTTGTGCTCTTTTCCAAAACTACTCACATTTTCTCAATTACTCACAGCTCTTTTCTGATATCTCGTATCAGGCTCGCTGTTGTTTTCTATGCTGTGTTTTCAATGTTAATGTAGTTTGTATATGTAGATTTGAAACAGAGAGAGCTCTACCCAAATGAAGGAGAAAGCAAACACCATTTTGGCTGTCTTTTAGTCGTCTGATCTCTTGATAAGATTGGTTCTCTGTTCTATCTGCCATCCAACCCCCATATTTTTGCTCTAAAAGTGCTTGTTGGATGAATATTGACAAATCAGGCAAAGTCTTTTATCTTGAAAACAATGTAATTGAAGTTCTTTGGCTCTTTGAGATCAGTTGCCAACATTATTTGTGCTCGGTTTTCCTTTTGAAGCACCACAAATGTATTGTATCAGAACAGTATAATGTCTAATGTTTTATTAATTTCAGCCCAACTTCCTCTTTTTATCCAAAACTATTAATGAGGAACACCATCAATGGTTGTACCAGAAGTAGTGTGTTGTCTTTGATTCTTCATGCCCGAGCGAGTTACTGGTTTGGCTTAAATCTCAGCATTTCAAACCCAACTGCACTAGGAGTGAATAAGCCCTAACTACCTCCCTAATCCCCCTTCCTTGTCCCAATTAGCATGTGTGAATGTGCCAGGGTTTCTGTGAATGTTTGCTTAACGCTGCCATAGATCTTTCAACCTTATGCATAACAAAAGGCACGTAGGGACAAATGTATAAATGCAAAACTGTGAGGAATTTACTCCAGTGGGCTGTTACATTTACAATCCTGTAGTGTCATTTTTAATGTCTGTGTTGTTACCAAGCTACCAACGACCGTGAGAAGATCTGAATTGAGATCAGCTTGTAGTTAACCAGGATAGGCAGGCTGGATCAGTGTTCAGATCCAGATTTTCCCCTTAGAAACTGCTCCAGGATCAATTATCAGCATGGCAGGATGTCGTAAATCTGCTGGTGAAAGCGAAGAGAGAGTGAGTTAAGGGACCACTTCAAATGTCAGTAACACCCATCCATCTTGAGATCAAAGTGCAAATCTCAGGAACCCTTCATTTTTCTGCTGTCTTTAGACTTCTTGAGCTGTGTTATTGTAGACGCCTCGGTGTGAGTTTTACAGTCTAGACCTCTCCGTGTGCAAGACTAATTTCTGCATCTATGGTCGATGACACGCTGTAGATTTTCAAAAAGAAATTAATAAATATAAATACTTGAATGAACCTCCTATGATAAACATGTTTTTAATATCTAGATATTTAATGAAGAATAAAAAAATAAAAAAATGCATACAAATGTGAGGGTGATGCATTTATATCATAATAAAAAAAAAGATAATTCTTGAAAAGTAAAGTGTTAATTAGTTTGACATCTTTTATTATTATAAGGGGAAAAAATTAAACAACTAACAAAAATCACTGCATATTAATATTAAAAAAAATGTTGTCCACCCAAAAAAGAAACCTCTGCAGTCTCTCATGACTGTGAAAAGGTTAGTTAAGTGTCTTATAATATCAAATAATTTGATCTTTTGTTGATAATACAACAGTTGTAATATGTGTGAAAATTTAATTAATTTTTTTAGGTCCCACTTTATATTAAGTGGCTTTAAGTACTTACATTGAAAGTTGTAATTTGATACAATGGACATATTGTGTACATACATGTTTTTAAATTGTAGTACTTGTATTTAAAAAAAATACCAAATGTAATGACATAAATTAATAATTAATTTATGTCATTACATTTGTAATTACACAGTTGACCCTTCCCTTAATTGTAGGCACTCTTATTTGTCATTGACCGCTTTTTTATGCAACATTTTATGCAGTGCAGTCAAATGCAAATCTGTTTGTGTGTGCATGTTTGTCTTCAGTTATGGTGCTACCGGTTGGCTGTGCTGGTTCAACATTAATATTGCAGGTTCCTGTTACCTCTACCTTCTAAGTTTCCCTCCTCTCTCTGCTTTCAATAATTTATCATCTGCCCGTTCAGAGCTTTGTGCGCAGGCTACTATCTGTTTACCACTATACATGCACGTAGGCTCGTCACCGTGCCTGTGTTGTTTAGATAGTTCCTAGTTGCTGATAAAGTTAGCTTCCAGCATGTACATTAGCTCTATGGACAGTTTGATGGCCGTTCACACTCTTCACCGTGGCAGTGTGTGTGTGTAATGTGGGGTGATGAATGTCAAAGCCAATTGGCGTCCAATTGGCATGAAATACCTGGTGAAGTGGCATCACACAGGCTCGTACCAGCTTTACCCAGGTAAGAGGTCGTGCTGATAGTGACCCTTGGTCCGTTGAGGTTCTTTCAGAGGGCGTCCATCTGAAAATTAAGCACTTCTGAGTGCTTGTTGTTTTTTAGTGTAGGTTTTTATTTTCATCTGGGCTAAATCAGTTTTTGTCTTGCTTAGCCTATGACAGTATGACTAGTTTTGTTGTTGTTGTTGTTGTTGTTGACTACGTTGCTAAATGCTGATTGATGTTCCTTTCAGTGTTTATGAGGATTATTTAAGAAAGAGTTCACTCAAGGCATAATTTCTCATTCACAGTTCATAGTGACATGGAAGTCACATGGATGACTTTTATACGGCTTGACAACTGTTCACTGAGCTGTTTGATTTTTCGAGTTTCACGGATAAAACGACAGCATCTGTGTTCGGAACAACATGTGGGCGAGTAAATAAGGACTTTTTAAAATTTTTAGCGAACTGTGCCTTTAAAGAAGAATGTGCTTTGTAACTTTAATCGATAGTATTTGATTACAAGAGCTCACCGACCACATCAGAATCACCCAGAAACTAAAAGGAGAGCATTTAATCTAACAGCAGCAGCAGAAGTGTCCAGTGATTTAAGAAATCAGATAAAGGACTGGTGATATATAGTTTAATATCTCACATCTAGCTCGGTTTCTGTTGTTTACTTTCAAACGCAAGTCTATTTTAAGAGAATGGTCATAGTTTAGAACACCCTGACATTTTTCAGGCAGTCCCATTGGGGATTTCTGGATTTTGAAAGAAATATATTGTACCAGTGTCATATGCAAAATGTGAAAAAAAATGTAAAAAACCCTTCAGGTTATTATAAGCTTCTTCTTCATAAAGGGATAGTTCACTTTGAAATTATTTTTGATATGTTTTAGCTTACCTCAAGGGCATCCAAGATGTAGGTGTCTTTGTTTCCACAGTATTTTCAAGTTTGATATTTTTAGGTCAAACCGTTCTTGTCTGTCAGTCATATAATGGGGGTCCTCCTCAAAGAGCATGCACAGAGAAGTCAAAATTAAACATGATTTAATGACTTCTAAATGTAAGTACACATTGATGGCCTAAGACACGAAACGAGCTGTTTGTGTGAGAAAACGAACAGTATTTATATCGTTTTTACCTCTTGTAACCACAGTCAAGTCCAAGTACTTTGAGGGCGAGGGCACTTCTGTCTACGCAAGTGCGCCGGCTAGCGCCGGATGTGATCTCTCGCGCGTGAATGGAAATTGCAATGGAAGACGATTTCGATATATCAACAGACAACGTTGATTTTTTTTCACAACCGAAGACTGAAGCACCTGTCCATCACTTGGACGTGGCTGTGATTACAAGAGGTAATAACTAAATAAATTCTGTTCGTTTTCTCACACAAACTGCTCGTTTCATGTCTTAGGCCATCATTGTGTACTTACATTTACAAGTCGTTAAATCATGTTTAATTTGGACTTCTGTGAGCATGCTCTTTGAGGTGGACCCTATATAACTCCATTATATGACTGACAGACAAAAACGGTTTGACCTAAAAATATCAAAATTGAAAATACTGTGGAAACAAAGACACCTACATCTTGGATGCCCTTGAGGTAAGCTAAAACATATTAAAAATTAATTTCAAAGTGAACTATCCCTTTAAACAAAAATGAGTGTGCCTCTGTGTTTGGTGTACATAATACGTACATTGTTATCTCCTTGTTCGTGCCTAGAGCTGAACAGTGTGGACCTGAAAGGCTGCGGCAGTGATAACAGTCTGAACAGCAATGCCAGCCTACCTAGCGTGCAATGCCATAGACGCCACACTGAACGGCGTGTTGCATCATGGGCTGTCTGCTTCGAGCGCCTGCTACAGGATCCTGTTGGTGTCCGATATTTCTCGGTACGTCGAAATTCGAATCAGTCCATGTAATCCTTTTGCAAAGCAGCCGCACTGTGTTAAAGAATCCTCTAGCAATATTGTCAGAGGATACAAGTTATGCTTTATGCATTTTAATTGAAAATGTGAAGTCCTCAGATACTTTCTTATCAAAAGTTGTAAAGTTTTTTTAGCAAGGTTGCATGAGGTTTCTAACAAAACCACAAGAAAGTGTTTGGAAATAATTTTCCTTATCTCTAAAAAAAAGTAATGCCTAGAAAGTAGCCAGTGAGTAGATACTAAGACAGTTTTTCGTAGTTGAAAGGTTTTTCATGAAAGATAAAACATGTAAAGAACCATTTTACACAAATCATTTTGCGTATGTTTTGCACTTGATCTTATTTCTTTTTCTCTTCATCCTGCAGGAGTTTCTGAAGAAAGAGTTCAGTGAGGAGAATATTTTATTTTGGCAAGCGTGTGAATACTTCAGCCATGTACCTGAAACAGACAAGAAACAGGTATAAAGTCGTCATATTTACAATATTTCTTAATATTTCAAAACATATATTAGATATTTTGGTAACACTTTACAATAAGGTTTCATTAGTTAACATGAACTAAGAATGAACAATACTTCTACAACATTTATTCATCTTTGTTATTACACGGCTCTGTGGAATACTTGATTCTGATTGGTCAATCGCGCCATCCAGCAGTGTGTTAAGATTACAACCACTGAAAACAGATAACACAGGCTTGTCCGGGTTACTGAAGTCAGCAGCTCTATACGCTTACTAGGACTGGTATTTCTTCGTGGAAGTTTTGCCTTTGGTGAGCAAATAAAATTTAAAAATCGCAGTCAAATCAATATTTTGTGTACAGTTATGCGTTATTTAATTATGCTATTTCAGTATCGTGGACTCGCTCTCTGTTGTTTCATACAAACGCAGCTGCTGCCATTTTTTGTACACTGTTGGATTGTAAGATACAAACAGGTACAATTTTAAAACAGTTTAATCTGAAATCAATATCTCTTATTTCCATAATTATTTATGTGATGAAATGCTGCGTAATAAGTGGTATGACTGTATACGGTAACTCTTAAATATCAGTCTAGTTTGAACTTGCCACGCTCTCTCCGCGGAAGCTTTGTGTTTAAAGACCTAATAAAATATTTCAACTCAGATTAATATTTCGTGTCTACTTATTTACTCAGCGGGACAATGTGCATCCAGCCGGTTGTTATCTCAGATTAAACCCCCTTCAGGCTGATGCAAGGCCCCTCCTCTTCACCCTGTCCGGGGTTTATTAGAGATAACAACCAGCTGGATGTACATTATCACTTACTTAAAGTTAATTTCAACATTTACTTATACATTATTAAAATGAAAAGTTGTGTTTGTTAACATGAGATAATGCACTGTGAACTAACATGAACAAATAACCAACAGCTGTATTTGGATTAACTAACATTAACAAAGATAAATAAATTCCGTAACAAATGTATTGCGGTATAGTGGTTAGTTCATGTTTACTAATGAAACCCTATTGTAAAGTGTTTCCGATATTTTATGTCCATAGCAGTCCATTTAGGATACTAAATACACCCTTAATGTGGACAGGTTGAAATAAAGGTTTGTTATTTGCTGTTTGATTCTGACATTGTCATAACTTTTGGCCTCCAGCTGTCCCAGAGGGCTAGAGAGATATACAACAGCTTCCTGTCGAGTAAAGCCACCACACCCGTCAACATTGATAGTCAGGCTCAGCTGGCTGATGACATACTCAACGCACCAAGGCCAGACATGTTTAAAGAGCAGCAGATACAGGTAAGGATAAAGGAAGTGTAATTTGTGAAATTTACTGAAAACCTGAGGGTATAGCCTGGGGGAGATCTGAATAAAAAGCATTAGAATACAAAGTAGTAACAGCGATTAAAAATTTCCCAGTGTACTGCACATCACAAAGTTGAAATGAGGCTACGTGGGTGTCAGGTCCACCCTGAAGATTTAGAAATTGTGGAAAATCTCTTTACATGCCTTGACCTGTTTTTTTTTTTTTTTTTTTTTACACATGTCTACTTGATATCTTTCAGGTCAATTAATGAAGAACAATCAGCAAATGATTTAAATTACTGTTCATGACACATGACATCATAAAAAAATTCCCAGAAGTATCCAACAATTGCTGTTTTTAAAATGACTGTGTTCCCTCCTTCTCCTTCTTCATCCCCATCTTTGAGGGCTGCAGGCAAGATGTCGAATAATAAGAATCATAAGCACATGAATGTAGCATCCTGCTGTACACTCCAACCCCATGATAACAGTGAGGAAACCCTCGGGCGACCTTTGTGCAGAATGTCTCCTTATAAAGTGCCTTTGAAGGCAAAGAATCACGTAGCAGCATTTAGAGGCTCCTGTCTGGCTGTCACCTCTCTATCCAAGATCTCTGTAACTCACAGAAACATTATATTGGCCACATTGTACAATGTCAGATACTGCTTTTCAGGATTTTTTAATGAGTAGATTAAAAGAACAGCATTTATTTAAATCTTTGTATTTTTTACTATCACTTTTGATCAATTTAATGCACATTTGAATTAGAGCCAGACCGATATATCGGCCCGCCGATATTAGGCATTTTCCAAACTATCGGTATCGGCAGTTATAATGGCCAATAAATGAATATTTCAAAAATAAAATAAAAACGGACGAAACACGCTTCAATCATCTCTCCTTGGCCTGTTATATTGAAAATGTATGTTTTACAATTTGCAGTATGACGTTGTCTTGCTAAATTCTGGCTCATCGTAGACTAGCTAATCAGAAAGCTAGCTAATACCACTATCATCAGTGGAAGACCGCTAACGTTAACATTAATGAGCTTGGAAACCACAATGAACTTTTTCTGCCTAAATAAAGTAATGATGACTAGCATATCTGTAGTTACAGTCCCTGCATTGTAAAATGTAAGTTAGTCTTGCGAGGAGTGAACATTTAGACATAGAGAAAACGTATCAAATGTATCTTGTGCATAAAAATTAGCTTTTCTTTTACACGTGTGTGAAATCCAACGACATCGTTCTGTAATGGATTTAGAATCGCTGAATAGTAGGTTTTCGAAGGCAGGCGGCAACTGATGATTGAAAATGGTTTGATGTAGCTTGATGGAAAGAATTTAAAAAGTGCAGGTAAAGGGATAAGCAAGCTGACATTGTAATTATAAGGTAGCTTATAAGGCAATGTAGGGACTAATTATTATTTTATTTATCAGAACTTTAATATATTATGATGTTCCTCTGTTCTGTTGTGACAATAAAAGAAACAAGTTTCTTTTTAAAATGCTTTATCATATTATTTTAGTTAAAACTTATAAATAACTACAAATAACAATGTTAGGGAAATCTGTTAATGTTTTGTTGCGCGTTTCTGAAAAAAAATAAATAAAAATTAAAGCTGCAAGCAGTGATGGGCGGGCCCTCGCACCTGTAGCGCGTCGGGGTGTGAGGTGGCCGCGTTGCATATTTTGCAGCTCAGCTGTTGTGGCTGTGAATTTGCTACGCTGCTTCATTAAAGGTCACTTCCTGTTGCCAGCAGGTGGCGCTATGACTGCGGGTCAATGTCAGCATGTAGTTTTGTTCAGGGCGGGACTCTTGTCAAATGTGTACAATTTGGTGCAGATCTGGGCATTTACAGCCAAGTTACTACAACTTCCTGTTTCATGGCGAATCATCGACGCCACGGACACGCCCATGGACGAAAACGCGCAGATAGCACAACTTTACATCGTCAATGCCTTTAGAAGGTACAGCAGAAATTTGAAGTTGATCCGACTAAATCCCTAGGAGGAGTTCGTTAAAGTACGGAGTTTGTAAATCGTCCCAAATCGGTCGCCAAATTCAAAATGGCGGACTTCCTGTCGAGTTTAGGGTATGGGTTCTTGAGGCTTTTTTGTGCGTCTGGTCATGGTAGATGTACCACAGAAATTTCGTACATGTCGGTCAAACAAGCAGCGGGGGCTGCTTCGTTAAAGGTCACTTCCTGTTGCCAGCAGGTGGCGCTATGACTGTGGGTGAATGTCGGCATGTAGATTTGTTCAGGGCGGGACTCTTGTCAAATGTGTAAAATTTCGTGCAGATCTGGGCATTTACAGCCAAGTTACTACAACTTCCTGTTTCATGGCGAATCTTCGACGCTACGGACACGCCCATCGACGAAAACGCGCAGATAGCACAACTTTACATCATCAATGCCTTTAGAAGGTACAGCAGAAATTTGAAGTTGATCCGACTAAATCCCTAGGAGGAGTTCGTTAAAGTACGGAGTTTGTAAATCGTCCCAAATCGGTCGCCAAATTCAAAATGGCGGACCTCCTGTCGAGTTTAGGGTATGGGTTCTTGAGGCTTTTTTGTGCGTCTTGATATGATACACGTCCCCACCAAATTTCGTGCATGTAGGTTGAACGTGGACGAGGGGCTAATTTTTTCCAATTTTCTAGGTGGCGCTAGCGTGCCATTTTGCCCCGCCCATCCGCGAAACCCACAAAATACGAAATTTTTCACCAGTCCTGACATGCGTGCCAAATTTGGTGAGTTTTTGAGCATGTTGCGGCCCCGAAAATGGCACTTACTTTGCAGAAAAAGAAAAAAAAAAAAAAAAAATCCTAACAGTTTCAATAGGGTCCTCGCACTGTTAGTGCTCGGGCCCTAATAAATAAACATATCGGCCAAAATATAGGAATATCGGATTTTAAAACCCAAAAATATTTGTATCGGTATCGGCCTTCAAAATCCTTTATCGGTCGGGCTCTACTTTGAATGGAAGTGTATGTCATCCAAGCTGAGAAGACCCACATTGCCGGTCATCGGCATTTGTTTTTGTTAAGGATGCCAGTCCCAGCATGAAATGCAGGTGCCCCCACCAGTTTACTTAAGCAGCTTAACCAGCAAGACTAGAAAAAATATGCTAGTTGACCATATGGATTTTCAGCATGCTGATTTTACAGTGCCCCTCTTCTTTTTTTTTACTCAATAGATCTTCAACTTGATGAAGTTTGACAGTTACACACGCTTCCTGAAGTCCTACCTGTATCAAGAATGTATGCTTGCAGAGGTTGAGGGGCGTCCTCTTCCAGACCCCTACCAGGTCCCCAGTAGCCCCACATCTAAACATAGCACAAGCTCTGACCGCTCGAACCTCTCTACACCTAAAAAGGTAACACACATTTCTGGTTCGCTTCCTTTTTGTGTTCTCTCCGTAGACTTAATGTTTTTTATACTTTACAAACTACCCATCACAGATTTTCAGAAAAACTAATTCTGTTTGATTTCCTCATGGGAACCTCAATTGTGGTCCCTACAGTGACATGAGTACCCATGAGTCAGTGTGCATTCAGGTTGAATTCCCCACCGGAATTGAAAAACATGAACACACACACACTCTCATTGATGTTTATTTTGTTGTACGCCCCTAGAAAGATGATGGTCTGTTTGCAGTTGACACATTGACTTCCTTTTAAGATAATCACACAATCTGTGAAGCACATCAAATAGCGAAACCTCCAATTATCTCTCAGTGGAAGGTTTAGTTATGCCTTCAGTAGTTTATGTACATTCATATGTGATTATGTATGAACATTTATGAATCATGGATTCAACAAAGCTTAATGTAATTATGTTTGTAGATGTTATTTATGAAATTTATCAGGAAGATTTACCAAATGCTTCACATCATTTGGCTTAAATGGCTTTCTTTAACTGTACTTAAAAGTTATTTGGGAATGGCTTCACACTTATGAGTATTATCTTGTTGTTTTTTCAAGCGTGAGATTAGAGTTTTTGGTAACATTTGTTAACATTAGATAATGTATTAATAACATGAATTAATTATTTTGAGCAATACATTTGTATAGTATTTCTTAATCTTTGTTAATGTTAGTTAATAAAAATACTGTCGTTTATTGTTAATTCATGTTAGTGCATTGACTTATGGTAACAAACACAACTTTTGATTTGAATAATGTATTAGTAAATGTTGAAATTAACAGTAACTAAGCTTAAATGCTGTAGAAGTAGTCATTCTTAGTTCAGTTAACTACACTAAACTAATGAAACCTTATTGTAAAGTGTTTTTCTTATTGTAAATAAAGTTTTTCTTTGGCCACCAGAGAGTTTTTTTTTTTTTTGAGCTTTGTGTAACATTTATTTTTGAGTATGGAAAGTAATTTACCACTTTTTTTGAAGGTGCAGGATGACAAGAAAAGTAAATCGGGAAGGTCACTGAATGAAGACAGCAGAGATGAACATAGCGATAAAAAGAAAAGCATTTTCTTCTCTTGGTCCAGAAATAGAAGTTTCGGAAAAGGAGCTAAGAAGAAGGAGCTTGGAGACTACAGTAAGTGGAGGACATCAGTGACTCTATTGTTAAATAGTTAGTTTCATTACATTTACAGTGCAATTACGATGCTCATGAACTTTTGCATTTTTGTTTATCTGTTTCTCATTTACTATTTCCTCAAGTTTCTCCAATTCCCCTGCATTTTTCTGCGTTGTCATTTTATGAATGTTATTTGTCTTTTACTACAGGCTATACAGATAGTAATGGACGGAGAGAATCACAGGGCTCTTTGTCATCTGGTACCAGTTTGGAACTTGCTACCTCTGGTTCTGGGAAAAACGAGGTGGGTCAAATGCATCAGACTCGAGCTGATTATACAATTATATACACTCACCTAAAGGATTATTAGGGACACCTGTCCAATTTTATATTAATGCAATTAAATGATCAACCAATCACATGGCAGTTGCTTCAATGCATTTAGGGGTGTGGTCCTGGTCAAGACAATCTCCTGAACTCCAAACTAAATGTCAGAATAGGAAAGAAATGTGATTCAAGCAATTTTGAGCGTGGCATGGTTGTTGGTGCCAGACCGGCCGGTCTGAGTATTTCACAATCTGCTCAGTTACTGGGATTTTCACGCACAACCATTTCTAGGGTTTACAAAGAATGGTGTGAAAAGGGAAAAACATCCAGTATGCGGCAGTCCTGTGGGCGAAAATGCCTTGTTGGTGCTAGAGGTCAGAGGAGAATGGGCCGACTGATTCAAGCTGATAGAAGGACAACTTTGACTGAAATAACCACTCGTTACAAGGTACGAGGATACGAGGTATCCAGCAAAGCATTTGTGAAGACGCAACACGCACAACCTTGAGGCGAATGGGCTACAACAGCAGAAGACCCCACCGGGTACCACTCATCTCCACTACAAATAGGAAAAAGAGGCTACAATTTGCAAGAGCTCACCAAAATTGGACAGTTGAAGAGTGGAAAAATGTTGCCTGGTCTGATGAGTCTTGATTTATGTTGAGACATTCAGATGGTAGAGTCAGAATTTGGCGTAAACAGAATGAGAACATGGATCCATCATGCCTTGTTACCACTGTGCAGGCTGGTGGTGGTGGTGTAATGGTGTGGGGGATGTTTTCTTGGCACACTTTAGGCCCCTTAGTGCCAATTAGGCATTGTTTAAATGCGTCGGCCTACCTGAGCATTGTTTCTGCCCATGTCTATCCCTTTATGGCCACCAACATGTACCTATCCTCTGATGGCTACTTCCAGCAAGAAAATGCACCATGTCACAAAACATTTCAAAATCATTTCTCGAATGGCTTGAATCATTTCAAATTGGTTTCAATGACAATGAGTTCACTTTACTAAAATGGCCCCCACAGTCACCAGATCTTAACCCAATAGAGCATCTTTGGATGCCCAGCCCTGGATGTGCATCCCACAAATCTCCATCAACTGCAAGATGCTATCCTATCAATATGGGCCAACATTTCTAAAAAAGGCTTTCAGCCTTTCAGTTGAATCAATGTCACGTAGAATTAAGGCAGTTCTGAAGGCGAAAGGGGGTCAACACAGTATTACTATGGTGTTCCTAATAATCCTTTATGTGAGTGTATATTATAATAGTATTATATTATTATTCTCTGTCTATGATTATTAGTATTAGTATTGTTAAAATGACCAAATATCATTTTTATGCATTGTTCATTCATTTGTGTTTCTGTCCGACAGGGTGACGTGTCGCGTAACTCCATGTCGTTGTCCGAGCGTACGGTGCGTCACTGTAACATTAACCTTCCGGATGGCTCATGCTGCTCAGTACCCATCAGGCCTGGCGTCTCCATCAGAGAGGTGCTCTTAGGCTTGTGCGAGAAGCTCAGTATTAATCTGGCTGCTGTGGATCTGTTCCTAGTGGGAGGGGAAAAGGTAACATGCATATTAATCTGTAGTTCAGATAACCAATGCAGGGTCCTAATTGTGTTTTGTGGTAAAACTGTTCTATAGTGATATATTTTGATTTTGTCTTGTCTACCTTTAAAGGTTACAAGGTGGTTTCAGTATGTGTGTTTTTGTGCTGAGTGCTGCATTTATGCGTGGGTGTGCGCATGTGTGTGCATCTGCATCATTCGATACTGCAATGCTGTAATAGACTATAATAGCATGTATTGTCCTTGTAAAGCCTTTAGTGTTGGACCAGGACTGCATGACACTGTGCTCCAGAGATCTGCGGCTGGAGAAACGTACGCTATTCCGGTACACACCCGTTTATCTGTTTTTATCTCTGTCTGTCTGTCTATTCATTCATTCCTTCATCAATGTCTTTATGTATTCATTTCTTTTTTTAACATTTCAAACCTAACTAAAGTCATTCATTATCTAACATTCATCAGGATTCAGTTTATTAAAGGTTATTTTCCTTAACTTCTCTCTCTCGATCTCTCCCTCACAGATTGGATCTGGTGCCTATAAATCGTTCTGTTGGCCTGAAAGCGAAACCTACTAAGCCGGTTACAGAAGTGCTGAGACCGGTGGTGGCCAAATATGGCCTGAACTTAGGAGACCTGGTAGCCAGGATAGTGAGTTAAACATTATAAGCTTATTATTTACATGTGGAAAATATAGTTTATTGGCTGTATCGTTTGGTTATTATATGGGCATTTATCAATATTGTGCATAAAACAATTTATATTTAAATTTTAATTTATATATCTCTGATTTATCATAGAGAATTCTCATCAAAAACATTATGATGATGTGTTTAAAGCACGTAGGGTTATCAGGTGACACAATAGTGTGCAAATTATGTTTCCATCATGTTGCCTGTTCAGCTGGTTTTATATGTATGGAGGATCAAATTAGTGGACTAGAGTGTGTGAGATGGAGGAAATTAGACATAACATGTGAAATATGTGTTTTGTGATTCTATTTAATGGATTATTAATTAAATATGTTGGTCTTCTTTTGTGGGCAGAGTGGAGAGAAAGAGCCACTGGATCTTGGGCTTCCTATATCTAATCTAGATGGACTGAGGGTGGTTCTGGAATTAGGGGACCACGTTCAAGGAAAAGGCAAGATGCTCACACACATATAGGACAGACATCATTTCCACCATCCAATTTGATTATTTGATTTCAAAGAAAAGAAAATAAGTTGTAAATACTTTAAAAAAAGTTTGCTTGTGGAACAGAATGAGTTAACACTCTCCCTCTGTAAACAGACAAACAAAAACTGGTCTCATCTAAAAGTCATGGCCCACCCCTGTCTACACGAAGCCAGTCTGCCACAGTAAGACTTCAATCTCCAGAACATTCACTTCAATCTCCTCCTCTCTTTCTTTCTTTGTGTTTTTTGGCCTGTGTGTGGGGAGTCTGTGCATGGCTGGCTCCCCTATTCTCTCCTCTGGTCTGAAGGCTATGTGTCTCTGTGCATTTCTGGGCATTTTGGATGATCTAACCCATCTTCTCGAATCACAGCAACCCATCTCTTACCACTTCCTTTCCTTCAACACACCACACCGTTGTGAGGGGATAGCAGCCTCTGTTCGCCAAGAGTTCCTTGGTTCAAGGGTTCCTCCCTTGTACAGACTCTCTAGTATTTATAGTTACTGATAGCTGTGTGATATGTTGAGAGAAGTGGTGGAAAGACAAGAGAAAGTGAAGCGTGGATGTTCACCGATGCTGGGTGTTGTGGTGGCATGCTGTGCTGGTGGTGGTGGTTTTTCTGCAGTGAGATGCTGTGCTGTATGGAGATTGACTTTAGTATGCTTGCACACGTAGAGTGAGTATGTACACTCCTTTTAGTGGTAGTTACTAGAGATCCACCCAGTGCCCCTACGATGCCCCTGTAGTCTTAGCCCTGTTCCCTAGAGAAAGCCTCGCAGAAGAGGCGGTTCTCATCCACGCACCCTAAATGTGCCCCATTCTCATTGTCGCTACCCAGGGGGAGGACAAAGCGGCAGGGAAGGCTTCGGCTGTGAAAACCAGAGCCCAAGTGGAAAAGCAAAAACAGAAAAAGCTTAATATAGATGAAGCTGAAGGTAAAAAAACTATTCCCCTTTCACTTTCTTGAATAATCTCTTTTTCTTTGACCTAGTTAAGCGCAGGTGTTGATCCTGACTACGTCTTATGCTAACAAAGTCTCTGTAGCAACACTGGCTGATTTAGCTAATGCTAACACAAGCACACTTTGAACTGGCAGCTGCAGGTAATCTGTTGCCGAGGTCTTGCAAGAATGCTTTCTATCTAACGCTTGCTGTAATGTGTCTAAAGTTGGTCGTTTGTCACATTTCAACAAAATAAAATTGTTTAAAATTGTGTGTGTGTTGTCCGACCAGAATTCTTCGAGCTCATATCCAAAGCACAGAGCAACAGAGCTGACGACCAGCGGGGCTTGCTGAACAAATCCGACCTTGTCCTTCCTGACTTCTTGCGCCTTGACACGGAACCAGACGCCAACAATCTCAGCTCCACCCCCCTCTCCCACAAGAACCGGCCCAGATCCAAGGAGAATGGCTCCGCCCTCAGCGCCAGCCACCAATCGCAGAGCTTAGATTCAACAGTGGAGGGCAAAGTGCCCAGACGAGCCCTAATGCCTCCCAATAGCGCTCTCAGAAACGCCACAGACCGAAATCCACCACCATTCAGTTCCTCGCTATCGCCGATTCCGCACTCGCAAAAAGGGGGCTCGTCCGGAGGGGTCCGGGTGCTGGAGGAAGAGGAGAGTGGCACGGACCTGACATTTGTTGCAGAGGGGGACATCTCAAGCCCTAACAGCTCTCTCCTTCGCCAGTCCCCCTATCCTTTCCCTGCTTTCCCAGAACGGCAATACCTCCTAAGGGAGGGCACTTACCAGGAAAGCTGGGCTCGATCAGGTACCTCTCCTGTGTGAACAATCAACTCTTGCATGTGTTATCCTCACCTCTTTCTGGTCCCTCCTGAAGATGTGTGTGATTTCTGAGTGCCGTGGATTTGCTGTGCTTTTCATCGTGAGCCCTGTGCCAAACCCTGGCAAAACCACCTCCTTCCCATGTACATTTGACACCCTTTAAGCACTTTAACGAAGAATCGAAAAAGATACTTCTACCTACAATGTATTCAATGGTTTATTTTCCTCCCTGAAAGTATTTCAAATCAACCAGCCACACACAATCTTGACAATCATTAACTTCCATGGCTTTTTTTTTTCCTCTGAGGGAAACAATATAATTATTTTAGCCTGTCGGAGTTATTTGAGGTCAGTAGTGAACTGAAGCGATCTTGCTCGTCTTCTGCATATCTCTACCCTGTGGCTCATCACATGAAGGCCTTAACAGGAGCCATAACTGACGAAACTAAACATGTGATAATTCTTCTTTGACTCAAAATATAAACTACATACCGGACGTGGAGTGTTTGAGGTGTCAAGCACCCTCGGTTACGCATGAATATATTTATCTGTTGTTCAAATGACGTGAATGCACAAATGGATAAAAACAAAAAAGCACAATCAGTTTTAGGACGACAGAGGCCTCGCCTTACCTCTGTGGTGACCAGTAGCGTGCCTTCCATGAAACTGTCCATGAAATCTAAATATTGACAAAGAGTCTTCAGTAACTCCTCATGACCTCACAATTCTACAGTTCAATCTTAAATGGAGACCTCAGAGCTTATTTTCGTTTTCTTTATTCCATCGTTTTCTTACAAAACTGCAATTCAACAATGTGTAGCTATGCAGGTCACTTCCTTTTTATCACCGTTACTTCCAAGTTTTTTTAAGCTACGGTATCATATGTTACGTATTTAATCGTGTAATATAATCCTAAGAAAGGATTAATTTATCCCAGATGAAATTTAAGTATATCTTCCTGAATGATAAAATTCGAAATGTGTACATAGTTTCTGTTACAGCTGTGTGACGTATTGCCGTGTTGAGTTGCCATCATTGTTGAATTGCCCTCCATTCTGTTCCTTCTGACACTGAAATCATTTTCAGTTTTCTGTAGCAGTCTTTTTTGTAGAAGACCAATATCTCTGCTCAGATTGATATTTCTGCAAACTTGTAAATAGAGTTAAATAAATGTTAGGGGTGAGATCTCTCTCCCTTCCTCTTGTTGTTTATTTCTTGTTCCGATCTCTTTCCAATAACTGTTTTTTTTACAATCTCTTAAGCCTGAAACATACTACAAGTACATAAACAAATGCTTTCATCTACACAAATTGTTGTATAATTCAAAAGCAGTGCAAGTGCATGTTACATTCTCAGACTTGCCACTGAATGCTTCAGGTCATAGCAGAGCATTCATTTGAAAGTAATCTTGCTGTGAAAGTTTGATCTCCATAATTGTGTTTAATGCCACAATTTTATTTACTGTACGAATGTATGTACAGTAATCAGAAGATTTTGATGACTCTGAATCTTTGATGGCTAAGCATTGATGTTTAAGTACTTCTGTAGAGTATGTTTAGGGTCTTCATGATGTCACATACACACTTCTTTGAGTAACAGACTGTACATAATGTACATAGTACATAATATGTTGTTCTGGCATATTTTGGTGGTGTTATATAAAATCTGATTTGGGGAGGCTAAATCACCAGGACTTCATCACAAGTGTTCAAATAAGTAATACGTTTCTCATTCAAATAATTGCCTTGGTGAGCTTAAAGGAGAACTCCAACGCAAAATGAACCTTTGGTCTAATAACACATTGGTACCTACTAGTCAACTGTTCTCTGAGATTTGTTTTCATGAAAATCGAATGTAAAGAGTTTTATCTCTAACGCTAGTAATGGGGGCATTTAATAAGTAAAAAGAAATCGCAAGTTAATACCTAACAAGGCTCAAAATAGCCCCACATTAACACATAACATGCAAACCGAAGCATTGAGAACTGTGTAAGTGTACAGACTGTTTAATAAGAAGATACTATATAAAGACAGTTCACTTTGTGTATACAGACAGGAGCCATCTTTGGAAAACAGTCTCGACAAGTCGATCCCCGAATGACTTGTTAAGTGAGCTGAACTGTATGAACGGCGTTCATGGTTTGATTTGTCGAGACTGTTTTCCAAGATGGCTCCTGCCTGTATACGCGAAGTGGACTGTCTTTATAAAATATCTTCTTATTAAACAGTCTGTATACTTACACAGTTCTCAATGCTTCGGTTTACATGTTACTGTGTTGGTGTGGGGCTATATTGAGCCTTGTTAGGTATTAACTTATTAAATGTCCCTAGCATTACACGATAAACTGTTTTTAGAGATAAAACTCTTTACATTCGATTCTCATGAAAACAAATCTCAGAGAACAGTTGACTAGGTACCAATGTGTTATTAGACCAAAGGTTCATTTTGCGCCGGAGTTCTCCTTTAAGACACTTCTTACAAAAGCAATAAAAAAATAGTTAATTTGTGTTTAATATTATATAAGTGTAAACAGTACCATATCGTTCAGAGTTCAAGGGAAGACAGGAGCCCAAATAATTCTCAGATAAGATAGTTTATCATTTCCTTTTCCTGTTGAATGAAAAATACAACGATTAGGAGTTCAATGTAGACAAAGCTGGGGCGGCACATCTGATCACATGATTAACTCTGCTCTCAGAAGCGTTCTTTAATAACTCCTTCACATTCCCCTCACCCCACTTCCCCCACCCTCTGTTTTGTGCTGTTGGAGTGAAGCCGTTCTCAGTGCATTAGCTATGCACAGAGGCCCAGTTAAAGTGAATGGCTGGTTAGGCAGGCTTTGTGTTGTTTGGATGCCGGTTCTGGGCTTAGACAAAACCAGCCTCTGTTTCTCTTCACTGCTCCCTCTCTCATCCTCCACCAGAGGAAGTGTCCTAATTCTGCATTGTTTCCCTAGGTACTTTTTCACGCTCCAAAAAAAAGGGAAACCCTCTATAGACAGAAATCATAATGCTGTCGTAATTTGACCATGAAGCCAAATTGTTGCGCGAATCATCCTCCTGGTGCCCTCTTGTTTTATATATTTTCTAATCTAATATGTTTAGACATTTTATCATGTGAGAACACCTATGTAGGCTACTAATGTCAGCAAGGTCTGTTTGCTTTGTGGTTTGCTAGACAAATTTTCAACTCTGGATTTGAATAACGTGTTGTGATCAAGAGAAGAAATAGACATGTTCTGAGTGATGTAACACTTTTATTGACGATGTATTCACTGGTCCTGATGACTCATGTTTGGCCAGACAGCCCGAAAATAATAGGAACTACTTATAGACCAATAAAACATGAGTTTCATGATGAATGTGACAAATAATAAGGTGTTTAAAGCTATGAGTAAGAAATTTATTGTAAGAAATGTCTTCAGATTTATAAAGCCACAATATATTCCATCATGCTTCCAATATCCCAACGTTTTGAAATGAGGTCATAAGTGGAGTTTTTCGTAGGATAGTTTTAATGTTAAAAATATAACTATTATAATGTATCATTTGAACAGATTCAAAAAATTTTGCTCAAACACAATGAGGGGTTTAAAATAGATTAGCAATTTCAGCAATATTTTATGAACCTATATAATATAAAGTGAACACAAATTCCAGCAGGGGAGAGGGAGCAATCAAACTCTGATTCAGACCAGACAATCAAAGCAAGTGTGAAAGCACATTAAGTGAACCCAACCTGCCAAGTGCGAACGCAACTTAAAACAAAGATGTAGCATTTGGCTGCACTACAACACATTACACTTTTTACTGGAAAAGCTACACTATTTCTAATAGGCTAGCTGAACTACTGTCATGTTTCACGTGCCTATTTGGGCGGGGTCTGAGCCGGTCGGCCATGATGGTAGGTGACGCTATCGGTTACCAGGGTTTTTATCGGTTTTTAACGCAGCAGTTACTTCCAGGCATGGTAAAACAGTGCGGCATTGCGAGAAACTCCTCTACTACCGAGCTAAAAACACACGTAATCAATACTGTTTTGTCGTGGGAATCCTACCAACATGGCGGAAAGGGCAGGGGCACTGTAAAATGACGTCAACTCTTTTATTGACGATGTATTCACTGGTCCTGATGACGCATGTTTGGCCAGACAGCCCGAAAATAATAGGAACTACTTATAGACCAATAAAACATGAGTTTCATGATGAATGTGACAAATAATAAGGTGTTTAAAGCTATGAGTAAGAAATTTATTGTAAGAAATGTCTTCAGATTTATAAAGCCACAATATATTCCATCATGCTTCCAATATCCCAACGTTTTGAAATGAGGTCATAAGTGGAGTTTTTCGTAGGATAGTTTTAATGTTAAAAATATAACTATTATAATGTATCATTTGAACAGATTTAAGAAATCAAAAAATTTTTGCTCAAACACAATGAGGGGTTTAAAATAGATTAGCAATTTCAGCAATATTTTATGAACCTATATAATATAAAGTGAACACAAATTCCAGCAGGGGAGAGGGAGCAATCAAACTCTGATTCAGACCAGACAAAAGACCGAGCTAAAAACACACGTAATCAATACTGTTTTGTCGTGGGAATCCTACCAACATGGCGGAAAGGGCAGGGGCACTGTAAAATGACGTCAACTCCTCATTCTCAATACTAGTAGCTTATCGATACTTTTAGTAATCTAATATTCTAAGCAAACACCTATTTAAATGCAGTCAGATGTTTTGGGATATTAGGAAGATTGACAACACTTCGAAATTAAATTATATTTAGTATGTTTGTATAGTTACGTAGTAGTAGCTACAATTTTTGTTTTGTTTTAAATAAATTAAACTGACTATTTGCTACCATCTTTGCAACTTGGTGGAATTGATATTTAAAAACAAAACTGCCTGAACGTGGTAATTTTACTTCAATTTTGACTGTAAAGTAACAGCTATTTTTTGTTAGCCAAGAATAGCATCTGGATACTAATCTCTTCTCTATTCACAGCATGTGAAGGACCCAATAAATCCACCGGCCATGTTCAAGTGTTTGTGTTTTAAACAAGTTTTAAACATCTGCTTGAACTTCAATAACAGGAAGACTGTTTTTTTTACTCCCTCAAACTATAGTCACTGCTATTGATATTGTTTCCCAGTTGTATACACCATTACAGCGTTCTTTCAAACTCGTGGGGATGAGCAGAAGTTTTACAATGTTTGTCAAGCAAGTCTTAGGGGGGTTGTAAATGGCACAAATATGGCCAAGACAGAAGTTATTGGCAATTCAGCACTTGCATCAATACTGAGGGCAACTTGGTTCATCATCATGAGTGAGATCCTGAAAAGCGATGGTGCTCCATCTAGTGGCCGAGGCAGATAAATTATTATTGAATTACCGCCTGTAAAAAGCATGACAGTAATGTGCTAATAATGTTACAGTTTTTAGGTTTAGTTAGTTTGAAGATAAGTACAATTGATTTATCATTAGTGTTATTGTAATATGCAGAGATATTTTCACTTCCTTGAAGATATGATATGCTTGAAAGGAAGACTAATAATGACCAACACAGGGTTTGCAAATAGAAATAGTATAGTGCCACAAGGGGGCAGTGTGTAACTCTAATCACTCAACAATAATAAAAAACGGCTCAAATTCAGTAAGTTGCCTACAGTGATGTGCACAACCAAACAAAGTTCGGTCTTTATCAGCCACAGCTTTTCATTTAACGCAAATTTGTAACAATTAGCAGTGTGTAGCCTATTGACAATGACATCCTTTCTAATTTACTTTATCTTCTTTTATCGATATGAATGTCATTCACAATCTGGTGAGAGACCGAGACTAATGAGAATCGATGTACACACGTGTGGGGGTAGTTTTGAGCATGTTTAATGAGTTTGCATTTGGTCTGAATGAGTCGTCTTATGAACATTAACAGCTTTATATCAAGCTAACAAGTCATGGCTCATCATCTCATCATGTGCTGCACTTTCTTCTAGTCCATCAATTGCATGTCGCTAAGCAACCTGGTGAGCTATGCGTGTTTGTAGCCTTTCTGTTCTGCTGAACAAAAAAGCTTGCTGGCTGGCTTTTTTATGACGTGTTAACGCGCAGAAGAGCAGAAGCCAAAATCTCAGTCTTGAATCAGTTTTAATTGGTCAAACATAAAAGATAACTACCTCTAAATCAACAAAACGAATAATGAAAAAT